TACCTCCTCGATTCTCATGCTCCCCTGATACTTTTTTAGAAATTTTGAATTTTTCAATTTCAGTGAATACCTCCTCGATTCTCATGCTCCCCTGACCCTTTTTTGAAAATTTTGAATTTTCAAATTTCAGTGAATACCTCCTCGATTCTCATATTTCCCTGATACTTTTTTGAAAATTTCGATTTTTTCAATTTCATCGAGGACCTCCTCGATTTTCATACTCCCATGAAATTATTTTTTTTTAATATTATAATGCAGAAAATAACATAGACACCGTCGACTGGTCTCTCTGACAGCGGGACTACAGTTGAGGCAGTTATCGAATCGGCTGGCCGGCAGACACTCCAACATCGCTTCTGGCGCCATCTTTCTCTTGGGGTAACGTACTACAATACCTGTGGGGTCACTCAAACCCCCAGAACTGAGCCTCTTCTTTAGTCAATCCTCTTTGGGTATTTCTATTATTATATTCCAAGAGGAGTTCATGACCTCTGTACCGAACTCGATGAAACTCGAGGAGAAACCCAAGAATTCAAATATTCATACCTGAAATTCCTCATAATTCAAATAAAAAAAATTTTTCTGCATACGCGAGAGCCCCTGGTACTGCCCACTCATTATCATAACCGTTTTCCCCATTGCGATGCAGTCTGTCTCTGTTCCTCAAGTGCAATTCACGCGAATTGCATAAAAATCGCGGTGCACTTATGGTCTTGAAGCCGTGACGACCCGAGGGTGCAGCCTTCTTCTATTAAAAAAAAAAAGTGCAAAAGAAAAAATATTTCCGTGCGAACCGCCTTGGAGTTTCACACCTAGGAAGGTAAAATTTTCAATTCGATCACGCGCCGCACTCGAGATAAGTACAGAGCCCCAGGAGCCGCAATAACGCCAATTGCTCTTGTCCTCCCCTCGGTGCACTCCACCTTCAGTGATTTTTTCCCCTCAACTTCCTCTTATGATCATCGAGCAATTCGACTATCATCGAGGATCGATTTGATCCACGCGGGCTGCGATATAAGCACCTCATGATCGATTCCGATCTCGTTAACTCACCTCGCCGATCACGAATTCACCGGAGATTAAGGAGAGCTCGTTTGTAAGTCAACACGAATGAAAATTCCCAGTTACATATTTTTACCATTTTTTTTTATTCATTTGACAATTTATTAGGTATTTTCCAGGCTGAGTTTATTGATTTTTATGAGATTGCGAATTTGTGGATTCCCATCACCTTAAGCTTGCGGATTCTATCGAATTGGTGAGAAATTTTCCGACTTGGATTTACGGAGACGCTGGAGTTGATCGTTTATCTCTCGACCAGACGTCATTGTTGATTCTTTGGGAAAAAAAATGGGACATTAAATAGTTCATTGCGATTCACTGGAGATGTAAGACTCATACAAGTTGCTCCATACTCGATAAAATATTAGAAGTCTGTATTGAGTGCTTTAAATCAATTAATTAAAAATTAATATTTATTCTAAGATACGCAAATGTTTGCTCCTGCATTCATGGCTATCTCATGGCTATCTGGTGACTTTGATGATCGGTAATTATAATCGTAACTCACTCATTCACACCCGATGTTCCGTATCGATCATTAGCGTATGAAGCTAATGCACGCCAGAGCTCCGGGGGCCCTTCGATGGCTAGAGGAAAGTGTCCCCATGCTGAGGAATCTAAACCTTTGAAAAAAAAATTAAATTGCCACATCAATTGAAATTTCATTACCTGTCGTACTTGCATGATTCGTACCTGAAGTACTCGCATGATTGACCATTCGCCTCTGACGTTGGGCGAACGGCTCTCGGTCGTAAAAGGATTCCACCATCTTAAACAGATTTATAAAAAATTTTGATATTTCATTATAAAAAAATTTGGAATAGCGCAGATGACGGATTCTTCGAATATTCATAAAAAAAAACTGAATTCACAATTGAAGTTGTACAAATACTCATACTCACTTGATCGTAATCCTCTCGTTTCCCCATTCTCGGTACATTCTTCGCTTGCTTCAAAAAGTACTCGTGGTACTTGTCGCTCCTTCCGATTCTAGGTACGTTCTTCGCGATTTTGAGGAAGAACGCGGGAACTTCATCGTCGGCTTCCACGGTGATGACTCCACATGACAGCACAACAATAATCATGCAAGTGCCTTACGAACGATAAAAACTTCATTAATTAGATTTTATTTTGGAATAATAATTGTCGCTCACCGAGAAACATCTGGCCGAACATGAAGTGCGCTGTCATTTTTATGTTTGACTGGGTTTGGCTCATGATTTCTGCAAAAGATTTCGAAGGAATCGTTGAGCTCGGCTATTGAAAAATCTTTGACTGTTGTTTATGGAAAGCGTTTGGCAAATTCACGCGATGAATGATCCGATTCAGTCGAACGATTGTAGGCAACTGGCATTTATTTTATAATATGTCTTTTCATCTTATCCAATTTTTCGGGGAACAGCGCATATCGAATGAAAGTGTTTACTGAGATCCCACGTGATTCAACAACTATCATAAGTAGATTTGTACAAATAAAGTTCTATATTTCTCGGAGGTGCACTCACGATCCGATTTATTTGTTTATTTCTTCACATAAAAATTTCTAGAAATACAAACGAAGATATCGTGAGGAGAGGTCATCGATTCGATAACAATGGACCATCCCACGTGTAAATCCATAGAAATTTTATCATGCAAATCAATAAAATGTTCCATAAAACTCTTTAAAAAATTCTAGACGAGTCAGAATAATTGTCACAAAAAATTAACCAATCGTTCCGGAATTGCAAATAATTGTGGGAATTAATCTGTGTCGAGTTTTTGATGCGGAATGAAATTTACCTGGCGCCTGTGGTTCCACTTATGCCTCCGCATGATTCGATTTCGCTTTTATAACGAATCCGGTCCTGATTAATTATTTTTCTCATGAGATCCGAAAATGTTCAGGCCTCATTGTACGGGTGCATGTGTTTCATTCTCATTTTTATTCTCGTCGTGTGCGTATTTGATTCATTTACTCTCGCAATTTAATGAATACAGGTCAATATCCTTATGCCGGTAGACGAGCTACGTGTTCACCATATCGATTCATCGAAGTCCGTATGAGGGTGATCTCCGGAGAAAGACTTGCATCGAGTAATTATCATCAATTCTTTCTGACTTCTCCTCGATGCCTCTTCTAATTGATTTTTAAATCAATTAATTGAAATTAATTTAATCCATTGAAAAAAAATAATACCAATTCAATTGTTGAGATTTTATTAAAATTCCATTTCTACATAATTAGCATTTCGTCTCTGAATCTAAAGCCAACGCAAAATATCTACGTTATAATAATATAATACACACATATGCTTGAATGCAGCTCCATGGATTAACATTTAATTGCTCACAGGATTATCTTTTACCAACGATCAGCGGAATCATGACAACAATCGTAGAAAAATTATCAAAGTCTCGAAGAATGAAATCGAGGGGATTCCCTTGAATTATTATCGAGATTCGGTAACGTAGGAACTTTATGATAATTGTTGCATCATCGGTGAATTCGGGAGAGAAGTCGATAAGTCATCTTTAGTTGGAGTCCTGGTGCATCATCCAGGCATTGCAGGTTTCACTGGCCAGTTCGCACATGTTGCTGAGAGCTCGGTTGATTACTTCGTAATCTGAATTTAATCACAAGATAAAACATGATAATCAAGTGGTTCTCAATTATCCTGACGAGTGGAATGACTCCATTCCGATTTCCTTGAATTTCTTGAAATTTTCCATGTCAATTGATTAATTTATTTATTTATTTATTGCTCACCCGTTCCAGTGCTGGATCGCTTGCCGAAAATACTTCCATTGAAGGGAGGTTTTCTGTAAGCAGCATCGACACTCAAGGTGGCGATGATAACGATAAGAAGAATTGCAGAAACAAATCGTGCAGACACCATTTTTCACTCGAGGGTTGATTACTTTGAAACGATGAAGACAACAAATATTAGTCAACCGAATTCTGACCTCAACAGTAATTAATCTAATTGTGATAATTATTACTTCAATTATTTCGATGACAATCTATATTTCTGCTGGATGGTTCACTGAGCAGTGATACCGTCCACCAAAAACTGCCTCCTTTTATACGATTCCATGATTTCATGACAAATGGACATGTCCACTACAACTATTGGACTATTACTTACGTCCGCTCGGATAATAATTGAGAGTATAACTCAGCGTCAGAAGCAGGCAGTGATTCAAATGTAGAAATATTATTTTTATCCTCAAGGGTATCTCGTTTTTTATAAATAAAAAATTTGATTGGAAGATTTTTCTGGAGCAAGTCTGGAGACTTGTGGATATTGTAATAAGACAAAATTATTATCAGGGTATCACTTGTTCGTACCTTTTGTTCGGATTGAATGCTGGAAGATTTCTCCAAGATGCGAGAGCTGACTGTGAAGTCCTCTCCGGGATCGAGGGCTTTTATACGAAAACCTGGGGAACTATGACATGTCCTGCAATTTCGTGCTGAGATAGGGTGACATCGGGGTGAAACTCGCAATTTAATTATGGGAATCTAATTATGGACGTTTTTGATGGAACTGGCATCGCTGGGGAAATATGTCTCCTTGATCTACGCGAAATCGCGTTACGATGCCGCCAACTTTTATTATTCAGTTTAACGACGTTTTATTATTATTCCAAAGAGTTTTGTTGTAACTAAATCGTCTTCACCCTGAGAACTGATAACATATTAAATATTCCAGAATTAATAAATGCGTCACAACAGGCTGCCAATAATATTTGCATTTGCATTTGCAAATCGAGAAAAAAAATTCATCGAAATAAATATTTATCTCACTTCCCCAGAAGCTGCGAATTAATTAAATTTTATCTGCCGCATTAAAATCAAATTCCAATTCGCAATAATCCACTGATTACTTGAAATTGCGTTAAAAATTTTTTGATTGATTCGGATTGAAATGGAGTTGTGGGAAATCTTTATTTTCGTGATACGATGACAAGTCTTGCCTCCAAGGAGATAAAGTAGATTTCTGAATCGAGCCCTCACAGATACCATCAAGAGATATTCGCGGGATTTATCCTTATCACCGACTGATAAATTTTTAACGCGAAAAAATCAGGGGAATTACCAATTCCTTTGATAAACGTGGATGGGAAGAATAAAATAGTAAAAAATAATCTGCAATGCTCATTAATATATTTATATACAATTCGAAGCCTCCGCCAATACAAGAAAATTTTATGATATTAAACAATGATAACACACAGTGATAAATTCATCCACATGATCCACATTTATCAGATATCTTAAATTTTTCGTACGAATATATTAATTGAATAGACATTTGAATTACATGATTGTGATATAATCGCTGTGGAACGTAAATTGATAATTACATCGCAAGTGTGCGTCCTAATATCTAATTGTTTATTGTCGCGTCACAACTTTTATTGAACGGCACTCCATGAACAAACTCGATTGTTCAATTCAATCAGTCCGTTCTCGTTGAACGGATATCAAATATTACAGCGATGCTGCATTAAATTGTCATAGCCCGGCGTTCAATTAATGAAAAATAAAATCATAAGTGAATGCTCAATATTCATGAAAGTCAATGAATAATTTACAATCAATAATCTTAACTTCTACCAACAGTCAATAATTAATTATACTTATCTTAAATTATCCTATTCAATCAATACTGCATGGAAGACTTTGATTTTGTTTTTTTTTATCGTTCATAAATATTAATTTATAAATTAAATATCTCTACCCTATCATACCACAAATTGTGTTTTAATTATTGCATAACAATCACTTCAGCGTGAAATATCATGAGATGCCTCAGAAGTGATTGCAAAATTTAGACATAATCTATAATGATAATTACTCTATCATAATCAACCCTCGATTATTAAAAAATAATAATTCCAGATAACTTATCCATGAAAAACCTGATGTAAACACCCCTCACATGATTCAACTCAAGCCACCGAAATGATACGTTCCTGGTTGTCAGCAAATTGAGTTAATAAACAATAAAATTTACAGATATCATGTGCTTAATTCTAAACGATATGTTGATTCATCGTAGCTCGTCTGCTCTGCCCATCATCCACTCGCCTACAGCTTTACAAATTCATGGTAATGTCTACGTTCTTATCTGGCCAAATTCCGTGTCCGTGGTGATCAGTGTCAGCTGCCATGAACGACAATCAGCGCAGCAAGTGGTTCTCCAGAGGAATCACCATTGATTGATGGTGCACGATCCAGATTGCCATGAGGACAGCATCACTGGACAAATCACATCATGCTTCTGATCAAATAGAAGCGACTGGTCAAATCCACATCATGCTTCTGGTCAAACAGAAGCGACTGGTCAAATCCAAATTGATGATGAATAGCTTGATGGAATCACTTTGAGATACACATAACTGCCGTCGGTTTATCTGACGAGAAAAATTTTTTTTGGTGAAGCCCGAAGGCTCGCACGAAGGCCGAAGCCCAACTGATCATCTGCAAGCACCATCCGGGTCTCCAGACATCAGTAGGCGTCAGCACGCATGTGCACCTCCTTCATTCCACCAAAGCCACGCTGAATGGTTGATTCCTGTTTGTTATAGCACTGCCCAACATTCCCCTGGAGATGCACAAGCCTCACCCCCTCTCGACACATTCTCTGGTTTTCAGGGCGTCATCTGAGAGCGATGGGAAATCAATACTGGAGACGTCTTCAGAGGGAGATCCCTTTTCGCAAGGCGATAGTGTCTTGAACAAAATGTGTGAAGAGGGATGAATGGTCTAGGGCCATTGCCACTGCTCCATCGTTGATCAATGTCTCCAGACCTCAGTGTCTCATTTATTTTGAATAATCTTGAATCATTCGTCAGAAGTTTCAGAAAAATTGACCGCCATTTCTCACAGGCTAATACCAGTACTATTGACTTGTCTTTTGGAAATAATAATGTTTAATCATAATTATTTGAGGGTTTATGTTTCAGCTTTCTGGGTCACAGTGGTGTACGGCATTTGGAATGCACATCAGGGAGAAGTTTTTCATTTTAAAAACTCGTTGGAACTTTTCCAAGAGGCGGAGGGAAAAAGGAGTGACGGGCCTGGGCTGTTCTTGTAACTTCGGGGTACATTATGAGGGACGTAATCGCACGGAGAAAAGTTAGTAATGAATATTACGGTTTTCTTGAGAGAAAGTTATTGCAATATCAAAGAATTCAGCAATTAATTTTCGTAGAAAAAATAAAACACTTGAAGTTTCGTTATTAATTGTTTCAGGAGGAGTTTTGAAGGACGATGTGCGGAAGTTATCCGTTAGATGGAAAATTTGGTGGATGGATGAGTATCAGAATTTTTTTTTTGAATATTCGTTTGAGATGGTCGGGAGAGCAAATGGGAAAGAATGGAAGTTGGGAAGATGTTGAGTCTTGCCTCGATATTAAGTTTATTTCATAAATACAGAGGAGACGACGGACAAGTACAAAGTTTGAAGAGCTTTCTCTCATACTGTCTCCGGTTGCTCTTCCTCATGCTCAGGAGGTGGAGTTTTCATTGCAGAAAATCGATTCGCGGCTGGAGTGCACGACAGTGGAAGCTACGTGACCGAAAGATTCGTGATTATTATATTTCTGGTGAAATATAATATCAATGCGATGCCATCAGCAGCCATGTAGGTCTGGAGTTGCAAAACTCGAATTCAGATTATTGTACAAATTAATTTAGCGATTGTTATTCATTTGTAATGCATTCGGATAATTAATCACTAAATGGTCTTTCGTAAAAATGATAGAATTGTTATCAATATGATTGATTTGAAACGATCTCCACAGGGTGTTATTACTCCATCATCTGGGAGGATAATCCCAGAATAATCCGGGAATAAGGAAGATGTTTCTTCGAAAGTTTCGCGGAGAGTTTCGCAAACCTGAGACATAGAAAACTCCGGGAGTTGAAGCGACTGGTGCTCCCCTGATTAAACAATGCATGAGCTCCACATGTTATGCATCCGAGAAATATTTCAGGTTGAGGTATTCACATGTATCCATGGCCAGCAACTAGTTACGTTCCTGGTAGATTCAAACAACGACCTCAAACCCAACTGAGGGCGCCCACGTTCACTACTGTATTGATTAAATTGCCGGTCGGCCATTTTGCCTCGGTATCCCATTGGCGGGCGTCCATTTTGTCCTCACCCTACTCGGTAAGAAATTTTTTTTTTATTCCACTGCTCTCCCACATTCTCCTCTTCCTGAGTAATACCTGGATTCGTGCGCAAGCGTCACGACATTTTCCAACGGGTACTTACAATTGAATTTCCAACAACTGTACTCGGATTGTCCACGAACGCTCGTTACACGATTTCACGTCGGTGTATCCTGGAGTTTGTTCCGTTACTCATCCCCTGATTCCTTGATTTTTTTTGTTTATTTATTCCTTTCATTTATCATCCGCTCGGACTTTGCGTAACTCGAAAAAATAGTCATCATGGGGTTCACTTTTTTTTCTTGCGGTGTCGAATTTATTTTCTCCTCAGGATTCCCACGTTTTAATTCACTGATCGAATTCTCGGCTTCTCCTGGTTTGTCACTCGTTTTGATGGACATTGTAAATAAATTTATGCAGCTAATAAAATTTTTTGCAACTGCATCGCCATGACTTCTGCAGAAATATTTTTTTTTGTGGGAAATCAATACTTCAAGAGTTCAATATTTTGGAAATGTCATTTCAGGATAGCGGGTTTTATTTTTAGTGGCGATGTCGTATGATCAGGGGAAATAGAACAGTCAACTCGTATGGAAATAGACAATAATGAAGATTAAAGACAGTTTCAATAAATTTCCGGGTCAATGCGTGCCCCAGATTGAGATGGATTACTGCTGAAAAAAAGATTTCGATTGAACAACGATTTCGGTTACTTCATTATAATAAACCATTGCCTGTTCAATTAATTTCTAAATTATCTTCTGCCTCACGAAAAATTTTTCAACTCCATAACCAATTATATACCGATAAAACAAATAAAAAAAATATATATAAAAAATTGAATTAATCAAAATCGTATAAAAAATCTTTCTGATTAATTTAGAGAACCAGATAATTAATAATAATTATAATTAATTATAATTCCCGTGGAGCAATGGACGACAAATACTTTGAATTAATCAAAAAATTGGCGGTACAAATGGCATCAAGTAGCATTACCCAAATGAATTCAAGTAAAAAGTTCAATGAAATATGCAAGAGTGAGAAAGTCAAGGGTCTGGCGTGATAATGGTGAGATTTCTAGGCATTTGGTTTACCAAAATTCCCCGGTATAACCACATTCCGGTGTTTCGTCGTCGGCATCAAAGAAAAACTCTTTCCCCCACGCACTCCAGGATTTTTGATGAGGGGTGTATTGCTATTGGCGGAGGATACGACACGCCCGGAATTTAACCACGTGGTGTACCCACCCTACGGTAACCAGAGTGACGGGCCACGCCCCATTTCCCCTGGAGGGGCTACCACCGCCCAGTGGGTAAAACGGAAACTGGGTCAGACCAGGAGGAGAAGCCCCCGGTCGAGTCAATCCGAGAGACTCGTCGAGTTTCGAGTCCGCAGTCCCGTGATAACCACCCCGACGCCCGTCCGTCGCTCTCCCTCGTCTACAACTCCATTTTACATTATACGCTCAAAGCGCATCAATCGCATCAGGTGAGATCATCATTATTTTACCCTTTTTTTTATCATTTTTATTTACCATTTCTTGCGCCTCCGATCGTGCAATATTTTCGTGTTATATAAAATTAAAAATTATTAGATAAATAATTTTATTTTAATTGGTCTCAATAAATTCAGTCAGCCCATTGTTACGATTATCGACGATTATTTTATTTTTACTGCTTTTTGGCAAGTTTTTTTTTATCTCGAATCATGGAATATTATCATGTATATTTGGGTGTAGTAATTTTAATAGAGTAAATAGGTTGGATTGTTTTTTGGAATTGAATAAATAGTTTTGGGTAGTGAATTCGTATTTAGGAGTTACGAATGGAAAAACTATTTTGAAAAATGTCGGGGGTTGATGAGAAAATGAAATTTCAGGTTTCACTGATAATTCACTGAAATTCCGAATTTTTTTTTTAAGACGCGAGTAAATAATCATTTTTCAATTCATTTGAAATTCTCTGTGCAATTACGTGAAAAAAAAATTATTAATGAAATTAATAAGACATATTCCAAGCATATTCTGTAATGAGGAGTAAAAATCCTGGGAATAACAATAAATTTAATTAATTATTTCATCTCCATTGAGTTAAATAAATTTTCCAATTCAGCATAAATAATTGCATGAATAATTCCATGTAGTTAAAGTTTTATCACCTCCACTGCCTAACGATTTCTTATCGTCAGCCCCATTACTTCACATCACCACTAAATCACGAATAATCGATAAATTCTCGATCTGCAATAATCGATTAAATAGGGAATTCAATTTCCACTGTTCAAATAAATTCTACAACGAGAAATAATTCCTTCCACCAGAAAAAAAAAAAATATATATCCATCCACCTAACAGGTCCAGTATATATATCATATATATATATATAAATGATAAAAAATTATTAAAAACCATAAATTAATCCCAGGGGTTGTTCTTCGACGATTGGTTTTAGGAAAGAAAAAATAATCAGCTGTTCCTCCAGATCGAACCTATTTTTTTTTTTTTTTCGAATAAAAATGAGGAATAATTTTTTATCTGAGTTTCATTAATGAAATATCTCTTCAAGTCTGTGAGCCTGAGGAATAGACTCAAGAGGACTATAAAAACGCTGTCCATGTTTCGGTGGCCGTAACCACCCCTTGCTGATGAAAAAAAAAAAAAGAAATCGAAGCGTCGATGCAATGACTTTGCGCAAGTCTCGAAAAAACTGAAGGACATTGTTATTGTTGATTGTTGTAGGGACTGGCGAGGGGAAGAACGTCTGAGACATGGACAATGTGCAAATGATCGGAACTAAAATCACCGCGATCAAGGAATACTTATATGTAAGGAAGGCCATCGCATGTCATTTCATTATCACTTATCCCTCTCTGTATATATTTTTTTCCATATGATAATAACGCACTTGTGCTGTTTGTATTTTTTATTTATGCTGTGGATAAATTAAAAGTGATGCTTTTATTTTTTCAGAACTTTGCGCGGACCCATTCGCCGACTAGACTCATGAGTTCCGAAAATACTTACTCCCTCAGTCGGGAGCACAGCAGCCTAAAATATTCAGGTGAGAGCACTTTCCCTATTTTTTTTTATTAACTATTATGGAGTAATGAAGTTTCAATGAAAATTTACCCTTTGGAAAATGATGGAAATTTCAATTTGAATTTGAATTTTTATAATCGAATGCAGTGTGCGGTGAAAAAATGAAAGTTGTAATAAAAATAATTAGTGAATAATTGTAAATAATTAGCGCTGAAAGAAGGGATAGGAATTGAATCTTCAATTATCATCCGCTCAAATGAGTGAATGAAATTTGAGTGATGAAATTGATGGAAAATTTGTAAAATGATGGAAATTTGAATTTAAATTTGAATTTTGATAATCGAATGCAGTGTGCGGTGAAAAAATAAAGGTTGTAATAAAAATAATTTGCGGATAATTGTAAATAATTAGCGATGAAAGAAGGGGTAGGAATTGAATCTTCAATTATCATCCGCTCAAGTGGGTGAATAAAATTTGAGTGATGAAATCTCGACTGACTCCCACTCAACGACAATATTGTCCTGATTTAAAGCGGTGGCCGTCGGGTGTGCCAGATTGGGGTGCATAATAATTGAGGATTTTGGGTTTGGCTGCGATCAAAGCACCTCGAGTGGTTCAGGACAGATTACACGCCACAGGGGACCTGAAAAAGGGTTTTCTCGACTCTTCCTGGGACACTTACACTCCCCTATCCTGATATTTGCTTGCTGACAAGTGTCACACCGCGATAACGGCACCGTCGGTCCACCAATTCAAATTTTCCTCAATCAATCTGGAATTGTTGACACTATTGACACTTGTGACGTGACCAAGAATTCAAGAGTTGAATTATATTTCAAGATCCAAAAATTCCCACACCTTTCCTCTTATCCCTATTTTTTTTTTACCGAAGATTGAAATTTCGGGAGGAAAAGTTCCCGAGGTACGTCGTCATAAATTTCTGGCATAATCCTGCTAATAAATTCGTAGCACTAATCACGCGATAAATAACCCCCTAAAATACTGTAATTACATGTGCCGAGGGTTGGGAATGCATTTTGGGGGTATGAAAAAAAAATTTAATGTCATTCATACCCAGAAAAAATTCTGGAATTGAAGCTGCGATCAGATATATTTTTTTTTCACTGATGACACAAAAAATCCGGGAGAATTTTTATTTAAATAATGGTACAGATAGAAAGAAAAATCAGAACAGCCCCCTGATAAGTTTATGGGTGATAAGGATAATTCTCAGGGTATCTGAATTCCCCCGTGGATTGAATTACGGTTGGAGCCAACAATTCAGTTCTCCCTCTTCTCTTCTTCATCGTCGTGAATGCGGTGGTTGCTTATCCGTAGGATCGCGGTAATGGAAAAGAGACTAGCTCTCATGAGAGAAGGGTGCCTATACCAACCGGATACTTTATAGTTTGGCTGCGAAAAAGGGACAGCTTAATCCTGGAAGGATTTACCTCGGAATCTCTCTCAGCCTTCTCCAGCATTTTGTCTTGATTATGTTTTGTTTTTTTATTTATTTGGTTTTTTACTCGATTTTTTTGGAACCGTCTTGCAATCTTGACGGATGTGACTGGTGGCTGGATTGGATGGCTCTCAGGATTACGAAGACATGAGAATGAGAAAGGATGGTGTCATCCCACCAAACAAGTGAGAGTGTGTCAATTTAGGTCTATACTTTCAATTGTTTGATGAGGTGAAATCATTCCAGTGGCTCACTACGATGGAATTATTACAGTTCATCAAGAGGATTTTGTTCAACTGATGAATTATTAAAATTATAATAAACCACAACATTACGCGTTTCCGCGTAATGTCGGATTTGTGACGCGTAATGTTGGATCCGCTCCGCGTAATGTCGGGTTCACTGAAATGATTTTTAAAAAATCAGAAAAAAAATCCAAATTCATTTTAATGATTTTTCCCAACGATTCTCATCCCCTGGATTATCCACCTGCTTTCAGATATTCTCCCACAAAATGTGGAGGGATATCCCGCAACGAGAGAATTCCTGATGAAAGTCGTCGATATTCTCCTGGACTTCATCAAATCCACCAACGACCGGAACGCTAAAATTCTCGATTTCCATCATCCAGCGGAAATGATGCAGCTCCTGGACCTGGAGATACCGGACACTGGACTACCCCTGCAGCAACTCCTCCTGGACTGCGCCACAACCTTGAAGTATCAAGTGAAAACTGGTGAGTCAAAAAAAAAAATTATATTCCATATCAATGATATTAATAATTCGCTTTTGTTTTAATATTTTTTTTTTGAATGATAATTCCGTGATTATATCTAGATAAACACTTGAAGAGTAAACAAACCCAGAATAATTGCATTGACTTTTTCTCATACTGCGAATAATTTGATTATAAAATACGCGCATGCAGACTTTCCCCCTGACGATGAGCCGAATGCGCGATAAGCCGCATAATTTCATATTCAATTTAGCATACGCCCGCACGGTAGTGCAGATAAGGCGACCGGAGATATCCCCAACCCCCTTCCGTGTGACCCCAACACCCCCTCACCCTTGGAAAATATAACACGGGCATTATATGACTGTGATAAATGGATGTTGCCGAGAGTGACGGAAAAAATTTGACCAGAAAAAAAAAAATCCCAGTAGCGCATCAGAACATGAACCAAAACATTCCCATAATCTCCTCCGCCATCTTCCAATCGATTGTTTTATCTCTCAACATAAAAAACGTAATCCAAATATAGTCTCACTCACGGAGAAAAATATGTGATGACAATTTTTTGATGAATGACAATTTTTTTGGATTTTCATGGGATTGGGAATTAGACGAAAATAATTATTATTATCTCAAAAATAATTATAGAAATAATTCCATGAATTGGATGACAATTTTTAATTTTTTTTTTATTGAATCTCGAGATATTGATGACCAGAAAAAAATGCAACATTTGTAGGCGCATGTCGTAGTCACGGGACAATTAATTCCGCTGATGTTCTCCCAATGAAATAAAAAAAAATCCTGCAAACTTGGAACCTGTAAAACACCGAGAGTCTGAACATCCAGTTGAACCAAAATTTTTTTCGCATTCTCCGGATTATTTACATATTTAATTTATTATTTATTTTCATATATTATTTATATTTAATGTGCATCAGTCTCGCCAATGACTCGATTTTGGCTCCTGAATAATCAAGGACAGAGCAAAGCCCCATGTACTTGTTTATGTGAATCCGGTGGCAAGAGCGACTCGATATACCGGAAGTCGACCGCAAATCCTGCCCCACCAGCCAGTGCTATCTCAACTAGATTCGATTACCAGTTGTGAATGGGATGCTAATGCACAATGCCGTCAATGCCCCCCAGGAGTCGAAAAACAGAGGAATCAGAGGGATAAATTTGCACCAGAGAAATCGAAATAACTTTTGCACCGCATTCATATAAAAGGGAGTCTCTTCCTCGGAATCACAAAACCTCGTTATTAGATTATGGTACCCTCCTGGAATGTCAACCCCCTTCCTGGACTTCTTTGTACAAGACTGTTTTGATGCAGCCCCTGGCTCCATTTTTCGAGGGGATATATTTCATTCTGATTTTTTTTCTCTTCCTTTTTTACCCCTCGCGAGATGACCGGAGATTGCGGTGAGGACAATGAAATCAGGGGGACGGGAAAGGGGGGGATATGATAGGGATGATTGGCAGTCTGTTGAGGTGAAAAAATATTTATCGAGTATTGATAAGAATTTTTTAGGGGTCGTTTGAGGGATCTGAAAGATTCAGAATCTCAACTATTTTTTCCTACCCCCATTATTAGTGGCACATTTTCATTTATAATTTTATTTCATGTAATTTAATTACAGAAATTTGAAATGCAAATACATTTTTGGGTGCGACACAGCTTTTTCGTTCGCGAATCCGTTCAATCGTAGAAATCACGATTCGAAGTTGAATGTTGAAAAAAAAAAAGGGGGGAAAACACTTTGCGACACTCGCGCAGGCAATTTATCCTGGGGGACAGTAAATTCAATGGGATCGGTGTAATTAAGAGCCATTTCTACACGATTTTGCCCCCTCCTCTGACAAACTCCGAAGGGTCGAGGTCTGGCGTAACAGTAAATAGGGGATACACTGGGGGTGGCTTCCAGGGGTTGTGCAATCTCACGTTTTTACCCCCTATTTTGGTGCCTGCATGACTGGATGAAACACACATTCATCCGGGAGTTTTGCAGAGAAGGGCACACTGGTGGAATTTAAATTGGTATTCTAGCCTCACGTGCTTACGCCCTGGAATTTGTCGATATTTTGACGACGTCACGGTTAAAGCGAACCCTCGAGAATTCCCGGGGTGAGTTCCTCTCATTTTTTTTTTCAATTCCTCAATTTTTTTTTTAATCCTACAGCTGCCAAAGCCTTTCGACACGCTTTAAAACTTGAGTTGATCACGTGGTGAAATGGAATTTTCAGCTCGAAAATAATTCAATGGAGATAAACAAATACGTAACAATGTAATATTATTTTTATAGACATTTTTCCGCTGCGAGTTGAAATGATAATTGTATATTTTTCTCTCAATATAACATGATGGATGATGGAGTATTAGCGTTAAGCCGGGGTTACACACTTCTCTTCATACAAATCTCGAGCCTCTAATTTATCACCAACTCCGAGCTCTGGCTGCGACAGGTTACCAAAAAGCCTCTCATACTTTTCTCGATATCCACCCCTCAGACCCTTCATTCAAACAGCCCTTATGCTCCCCTCCGCAAAATACTCCAAATTAGTCGAATGGAGCATTCCAACATCTCGCACTGTGCATTCCCCGAAATTTTTCTCTTTCCCTAAACCAACATCAAATTTTCACGATATCCCATTGGTTAATCAATCATTTTCCCTGCCAAAGCATAATAATTATTATTATTTTATTGCAGATTGAATAAAAATTTTTTTATCAATTTTTCCATGAGAGTTCACGCAGTAATTTGGAAAATCGATCGGATTCCCTCCCCCTCGTGTATTTTAACATCTCTTGATTCTCCTCGATATTGATACGCAGCATTAAAACTGAAACTACGATTTGTTACACGTATTTCGTGCATTTGAGAGCCTCTGCAAACAATCTAGTCGTTCAGCGACGCGTGTGACGCGCAAAATGCGGGCTCTCCGGATCATCGACCCTCGAACCCCTGGCAAAGTCCATCCACCGGGTGTTCCCTACCACAGATCAGTGAAAGAAGTGAAAAAGAGGGTGAAGGGGAGGCACATCTTGAAGTAACCCCTGGACCGGACGCGTGACTCGAGTCACCGATCATGATAATTGCGGATATAACGCCACGACAAACCGTACATGCTGCACCGATGCATTGAGGATTTTATTGTACTTTGGGGTTTAACGATCTCCCCTATCCCCACATGGAATTTATTGTTTAGAAAATTGGGTAAATGTGAATTTACAAAATCGGTACTGTGACGATTTTGAATTTCCCGCCGCGCACATGAACACGCGGGCAGGCGTGTGGACCAATCGGTGAAAGCCTGGACTCGGACGAACTTCATTTATGTTTATGTATGTATTTGTGAATATGTATTTTTATGAATAAAAAAATAATCTGCATAAAAAATCGAATGACATCTTTAATTTCAAATCGAATGATCAAAAATCATGCGGTTCGCTGCGCAGACGTCTCCTGCACTCGGGGAATCCCACACACATGTCAATATATGACAAGGGGAATGGAAAGAGAATCCTGATCCTCTTTGACAAGCAGACCCAGGGATGATACGTCAATCAGACCGGTAGTTCCTGGAGATTAAAACGCTTTATCCAAATAATTACCTTCAACTACCTCAAAATCATTGAATTATTGTTAAAATTTCTTATTTCCAGATATATAATAATAAACGCGACTCATCACGTCTTCATCATTGAGAGGAATGATGCCTATGGGTTATCGATTTTTCCTCTCCGAATTCCTAAACCGAAATAACTTGAATTTCCTGAAAAAAATCTGTTTGAAGCGATCGGAGAGAAGACAGATAACGAAAAACAATTGTACGACTCGTAGCACATACGAAAATTGTTGCTGGTGTAGCATGAAAACTACCATTCCCTTATTCGGATAGGGGTTGTACCCATCAAACAGAAGCATTAGGCTTGATCCCAGCGCGATGTTCATCCGAGCGGATGACAACATACTCTGGGAGCAAGCTTAAAGCTCTTTTCGTTTTCATCCATGTACCATCAACCTTTCTGTCTTCCTCCCCTTATATACTCTTTAATTCTCACACATCCATTTCAGGATCATCCATTGATAATTTTACCGATATTATTTATGTACATGAACTTTTGAATTTTTTTCGGACAGTCTTGGATTCTCTGAAAGCTCATCACAAACTCCAGTGTGACGATTTTTTAAAATAAAAATCACTTCAGCTTCTTTTTATTTTCATTCAAAATATATTATTATAAGATAATTTATATTGACCAGACCGACCGGTTGACGTCAATAATTCCAGGTTTTATTGTTTTCTCTCGTCTGATCGTAAACGGTGATAAGGATTCTCTTATCTTCTCAGACCATTTGTGCAAACAATCAGAATGGAGAAACCGATTTTATTATTTTTAGAAATCTGCACAAAATTCTACCGCGATTTCCGTATAAAATCGTGTGTGAGGTCTAATCGTCAATTGCATTTGCATTCATTAAATTTCTTGTGATAAAAATCTCATTTGAATAATGAAGTTAATTTCTGTATTGATTGTAATTGCGGTGGTAATAATGGCTGCCAGTGGACAGCGATGCAGGGGACGTCGAGAGCCGGTCAGTAACGATTGCTCAATTAAAAATATAAAATCATCATAATCTCCAGTTGCAAATATTTAATCTCACTTTCAGTGTCAAACCGACAATGACTGCTGCAATTTCGCTTGTCGTGGACGCAGCAAGATTTGTGCATGTACGTGAAAGTTTTTCATTATAAAAAATAATTGTTCAATCAATCTCACTAATTAATCAACAATTTTCTAGAATATAGGACCTACGGTGTACGGATCATCCTCCGGGGAACTTTGCAACCAAAAAAAGACACGAGAATTTATTTAAAAAATCAAAATAAAAAATATCACACCCTCCAAACACCCATTGCATTTATCATTTGTTATTATATATTATTATTCCAAGATTATTCACGCCCAGATGTCAGAAGAATGACGTCAAAATCTTTTCTTGTTCTCTCTCTGATCATAAACAATTTTAGAATTAATTAATAATCCCGATATTTTCTCAGCCAAGAAATGAAAACAGTTAAATGTGGAATAATCGATTTCATTGAAAAAAAAATCTTAAAAATCTTGAATGAGTTCTCATATAAAAGTGCGCGTGGAGTTCCTTCACCAGTCGTAATTGAATCAATCGAGTGCACACCAGAAAAAGGTTCAAAAAATATATTTGGAATAATGAAGTTCATTTCATTTTTTGCGGTGATCGCGATGGTGTTGGTGGCTGTGAGTGGCCAACGTTGTAGGGACCGAAGACAGAGGGTTAGTTATAATAATAAATTCCAAAAACTACGACATCCGAAATGAGAATTAAAAATCCATTAATTATTTCAGTGCGGACACGATAACGACTGCTGCAACTGGTCTTGCATTCCGGGTAGACAAATCTGCGCCTGTATGTAAAAATTCTAATCATCCGAATTAATCCACTCCGAAGGATCAATTTTTTATAATATTCTAATAATGAATTTTCAGAATGGAGGACTGACGAGGAAACGAGGACTGAATTTCAATGGATTAACGATCAATCAACTTTATTATTTAAAAATGTAAAAAAAAAATTCTTTTCGAAGATGTTATCTCCACAGTAATCCTTTATAATTATTCATTTATAATTGTTCAATAACGGAAATATAAATATTAAAACATATTGACACCACGATTATTTTTTAAATAATAAATTCGCGAGATGCATTGATAATGATATGCGATCTATAATCATCCTGAGTATTCGATGCTTGCGCTGATGAATAGCGATGGACTCCTTCTGCTAGATCGACAGCTCTGACAGTTCAGTTTTTCCAAAAATTTCTGTTAAAGGACATCCTCGTTTCTTCAATCAATTGTCCTGTGGTCTGGATTTGGTATCAATGGCTGGAGAGTGGCTGACCGCCACCGCAAACACGAATATGTTCACTTACGAGATTGCACCAGTTTTCATTCTCATGGAGCACGTGGTGCTTGAGAAGATGAGGGAATTGATTGGCTGGAATACTGGAGACTCCATCCTAGCACCTGGTGGATCAATCAGCAATCTCTACGCTTTTCTCGCTGCTAGACACAAAATGTTTCCTCATTACAAGGAGAAGGGACTCTCTGCTGTCGGTGGACAGCTCGTGATGTTCACATCTGATCAGGTAATCAAGTGGGAATTAATCAGGATTCCTCAGGGTAATATGAATCATAAACTCGATTACGGTTTTTTTTTATTTCAGTGTCATTACTCGGTAAAATCGTGTGCATCCGTCTGCGGTCTTGGTACTGACAACTGCGTGATGGTTCCCAGTGATGAAAATGGCAGAATGATTCCATCGAAGCTGGAGCAACTCGTTCTCGAGCGCAAAGCAATGGGGCACATTCCTTTCTTCGTCAATGCAACCGCTGGGACAACTGTCATTGGTGCATTCGATCCAATCTCCCAAATTGCTGATATATGCGAAAAGTACAGCCTCTGGTTGCACATCGATGTGAGTAAATAAATATTCTGACTATTAGTTAATCCCATTCGTTTAAAATAAATCGTTGAATCGAGGGAATTGTCCGTTTAAATTATTCAAATTCGACGTGGAAAGCTGGTGAACGGATTTTCAGGTGCAAATGCCAAGTGCCTAAGAGTATTATCCTAAATAATAAATGTGAGAAGGTTCGACTGGAATTCCGGGATTTTGGGGTGCGGCAAATTGTTGGGAAATTGTAGAATCCCGGATTAAAGTGCATTTCGCTATTTACGAAAATTGGACATTCCGCTCTTGCCAATTCGAATTCAGATCGCAGTTTTCTTCAGTGGATATTGTTGAAGTAATTATCTAATTGAATTGCACTGTCCATTCGCACGTTCAATTTGTCGAAAAAGCTTTCAACCGTTATCTGTTCTATCCTTTTAATTTCACCAGCAATTATTCGCGAAATCATTCACCCAAACAAGAACTCGTCCTTGAAAATTGCACGCAGGTTAAAATCCATCGATTGATCTTCGTGACAATTCCCGGTTTCAAATTAATATATCAGCGTGATGCGATATTATGATTGATGTGATTATTTTGTGGTGTCATTAGGCGGCGTGGGGTGGTGGACTGCTGCTCTCAAAAAAATACAGACATCCGAGACTGACGGGCATCGAACGGTGAGTGCATCATAATTTCCAAGGGGAATACAAATCTGCACCTTCTGGGGAACAATCCACTGAATTTATTGCCAAACCATTGAACAATTTATACACAAGCTGGGGCACTATAAATGACACATCGAAGGTTTTTCAAGTAAACCGCCTATGGGAAAACAGTGTGTGCCATTCGGGGCGCCTTAATCCCGGACTTTTATAGTTTATTGGGGCTTAGTTTGATGGAGTTCTTTCGAGAAAACACTCTGGTCCCTCATAAGCTCAGCGTAATAACAAAATCAATACGTATTGGTTATATGTACACTCGGTGCAGATGATTTTACATGTCAATGGAAATTTTTCCCCTGGGAAATGGATTTCCAACGTAAAAAGTTTCTTCTACCCTCTAAAAAATCCAACCCCCTGTGTTTTTCTTTTTAAAAAATTTATAACATACAATTATTTATTTTAATTGATTATTAACCAGTGAGAAATTTTAGTAACCGATTTTTTGCGGTAATATTTTGAGTTGTGTTATTTTGAAAAATGAGAATGATCTGTTATTGTTTGGAGGGAATTTTCATGGAGTGATTTTCTGGGGAAAATGGGAGTGAAGGGTGATTGAGGGATGATGAAGTGCTGGAGTAATCCGTGATGTTTATGGGACTGAAAGGAGTGACTCCTGTCTCTGGCACATGCCAACTTTCGCATCCATACCGACACTAGCCTACGACCCTCGGGCACTAGCATTGGACCACACGTTGGGGTCAGAATATAGGGATGGGGATGAGCATCGTCTGCTTGCGATGGGGCTGGCGAGATTAATCCACGATTTGCATCCACGCGCATCTGTTCCTCCCTTCTTTCATTCTTTCTTTCACTTCATGCGTTTTTTTTTTTGCAATCCCTAGCGAAGACGTAGGAAAAATTTCCTGACGTGTGAAACTAATTTCTCTTCAATTAAAAATATTTGAAGTTCAAATTCTACCTGAAGAGCCACCCGAAAAATTGACGTTGAAAAAAAATAATCCCGAGGCTGCAATTGCGCTGCTTTTCTCGCATAAACAAAAAAAAATGGAATGAAAATTTTTTTATCACGCCACCGGTAATTGTTAAAAACCACTTTTCGCCTGGAGTGAAGTCTTGATTAAAAAAATCCCCCGGTTGAAATAAAAGAGAGAGTCAAGTATACATGTGAAAGTGAGAGAACGGTCTAGTGTAGTTATCCGACGGGTAAAGCGCAACAGCTGGATCTGTTCCCTGAAGCGCATTTACGGAGGAACAGGACTCTTCTCTTATTGACGTCGGCAACGTCGGCGATGCTGAAATAAAGCCTGAAACTCCCCCTCAATTCCATGGGTGCCCGACAATGCCGGATTAAACTCACTGCTACAAAGGACGTCAGCGTCTGCTATATTCCGGACTCTTTCTCCTTCCTCTTTCCCTTTTTTTTTCGCCATTTTTTTTCACTCTCTTTGTCTACCATGTACCCTCTCCAACGCGTTGTGATAAAGTCCAGAATGATTACTGGTAAGAGCCGAGTAAAGGCTGGAGAAAAGAAAACTCCTGGGTAAAGTTCAAGGTCTATTCTATTCCTTCATTCGCATTTATTCTTCTTTATCTTTTCTCTGGTCCCTTTTCATCCTTTGGCATGTACTTTAGCTTTAGAATTGTTTGCGAGAGTTGGACTCACATTGTTCGCCTCATCTTCAGGAACTCTCGATGGGCTGATCGGGGGTAGAATTTTTCGATGGAATTATCACGGCATTTTGAGGATATTCATCGAATTCAATTTTTTGCGCGGTTTATCGTTCGGTATTTGCGCGGTATCGGCTTGGGGAAACCCTAGGGGTAATTAGCATTTCGATGTGGGGGTAATATATATTCTCGCGGGGCGGCTTTTGGGGTTGACACCTATAGCTAAATTGGAGTGGGTTGTAATGGGGTCGAGGACGACTGCACGCACAACCCCCAGATGGGAATCCCATTAATCACCACCCACTATGTCGCGTTCGTTGTCGCGAAAAAAAAGAGTAATTGAAAGAGCCTTGATGATGCAGAAATTGTAAAAACCAAAAAAATGCACGTCTGAAAAACGAAAAAATTCCACGAATTAATATAAACTCTAATTGACGACAAACACGATAGCGGACCTCTCTATCAGTACAAAGAAAGATTGAATTCAATTGAGAGATGAAAATAAATTTTTTTTCGAAAATCTGGAAAACATTTTTTTTTTTCGAATTTCGATGGAATTGAATTTTTTTTTAAATCGATGAAAATTAATTTTTTTTTTAAGTCTCGGGAAAACTCATGAGTTCTGAGTAGCGGGCCGCTCTATCAGTCCTAAAAAATATTGAATTCAATTGAGAAATGGAAATAATTTTTTTTTTTGAAAATCGATGAAGATGAATTTTTTTTGAAAATCGATGAAAATGAATTTTTTTGGAAATTCTCGGGAAAACTCACGAGTTTTGAGTAGGGGACCTCTCTATCGGTCCAAAGGAAGATTTAATTCAATTGAGAGCTGAAAATAAATTTTTTTACCGAAATCGATGAGAATATTTTTTTTTTCGAAATTCGATGAAAATGAATTTTTTTGAAAATCGATAAAAATGATTTTTTTTTTAATTCTCGGGAAAACTCATGAGTTCTAAGTAGGGGACCTCTCTATCGCTCCAAAAAAAAAATCAATTCAATTGAGAGATGAAAATAATTTTTTTTTCAAATCTCGATGACGACGAATTTTTTTGAAAATGAATGAAAATGAATTTTTTTTTAATTCTCGGAAAAACTCATGAGTTCTGAGTAACGGACCGCTCTATCACTCCAAAAAAAGATTGAATTCAATTGAAAGATGAATATATAATTTATTTTTTTTAATATCAAACATAATATAAAAATATTTCGTAATAATTGTAATTTTCCAAGAGTAAGGATAATCAAGAATTAAATGAAAATTTCTAGGGGACGGGAGGAAATCTGAAAAATTAGATTTATTTTCTCTCGATGGAAAAGTCTGGGGTAATTTTATGAGGCAAATTGATGGAGTTTTGGTAGTACTGAAAGAGACATTTACGACAGGGCCATCGCACTCGGATGAACAATGGGTTGGCTATCGAAAATGTAACTAATGGAGTGGGATCTGCGTGAGACATGTAAACTCTTGTGCTCCATGGCCCGAAATCTGGGGGATGTTGTAACTCTTCACCTCCCGAAGAGCCCTTGAGCATCATCCACAGGGCAATCATTCCTGTCACTTCCCACATATCAATAAAATTTCATAAATAACCGGATAAAAATCAAAACACCAAATTATTTCCATGATTTATTCCCAAACTACAAAAGAACACAAATTCTCACTCGTAACATTACCCTTGGATTAAAAGGGTTGAACATCTAACCGCGAGGGTGTTTTCGAAGGGCTGAATCCATCGCCACAGCTACGTATTAATAGTCCCCCCTCGGTTTAAAATTAATGGAGCTAGTATTACCGAGCACTTGGGGCCCATTTTCTTTTTTACCACTGCAATTCCATGGAGCTGACTTGAACAACCACCTGAGACACCTCGCCATGCTAAATCACCTCAGATTGACACACCACCAGCTTCACCTCTCCTAATAATAATTCTCATTGTCTCATTATCCTTGACTGCACTGGAAAAAAGAAAATTGATGATTATGGAAAAAAAAATCAAGGGGTTGAAGTGATTTAAAGGGCGGATTGAGAATTAAATTTTTTTTCTAATTCCAGAGCTGATTCCGTCACCTGGAATCCACACAAGCTGATGGGAGCTCTTCTCCAGTGCTCAACAATCCACTTCAAGGAGGATGTGAGTGAAGTCATTGAAATCATTGTATAATTATAATCATTATATAATTTATTATATTTTATGATATAAATGGTAGCAATGCATTAATTCGGAATGAAAAGGCCCTCGTTATAATAACGATCGATGCGAAATCCCTGAAATGGTCGATTTGAGGGTTTGCCATGTACCCCGAAATGAGCAAATTCTCGGGAACACGGGGGAGGGTACAAATGCTCCTGGACACTGGTGGAATTTAATTAAACTAAGAGATAACATATGTTACCCTCGAGATAGGGCTGACGGAGGGTTATTCTGTCCCTCTCCTTCCGCCTGTGCGCGAGTTTAGTTATTGCTAAACTCCCACCCCTGATCATCAACCCTGCCCTGGAAAAATTCACCCCCAACGAGATATTAAAATTCCGCTCGCCGGCTGTTGCACGAGAATTTTTTTTTTTTTTCTTGCTCTCCCGAGGGGTGAGATGAGAGGGAGTTCGACGTTATTGTTTGTCATATATTTCTGCCCTTGACATGACTGTTGAGATTTTCGTCAGCACCCCAGACCTGTCAAAGGGTGGGAAAAGACTTTGTTGCCTCAAAGGATGAGAAATCTCCCTGAGATTTTTTTGAATGAAAAAATGATTTCTATTTCGTTGGAAATAACCGAGAGTCAATATCGGTTGGTCGCCATTTTCGGGTGTACCATGTGGAACCGGGTTTCTGAATCTGATTCGCGAGATTCGCGCATGTGTAGGAATTCATCGGTATCGACCGGAACTGCAGCTAGAATTTTCGCGAGGTGCGCAAGAATTTTTTTTTATTTCATTCTCACGAGGAAAAATCAATGAAAAAAAATCGGATGACCAGAAAAAAAATGGTGTGAATATTTCCTTGATGTTTAGGGTCTTCTGATCAGCTGCAATCAGATGTCAGCTGAGTACCTCTTCATGACTGATAAGCTGTACGACGTAAAGTACGACACAGGTGACAAAGTAATCCAATGCGGTCGCCATAATGATATCTTCAAGCTGTGGCTGCAGTGGCGTGCTAAGGTACCTCAATCATGGAGTAATGGATAATCAGATAAAAGGAAATGATGAAATTTCAGGGCTCAGAAGGATTCGAGAAGCACATGGATCGACTCATGGAGCTGACTGAATACATGGTGAAGCGCATCAAGCAGATGCCGGATAAATTTTATCTCATCCTGGAACCTGAGATGGTTAATGTCTGCTTCTGGTATCTGCCGACGCGAGTGAGGAACATGCCGCATAATTCTCAAAGGGAAAAAATTCTCGGCGAGGTAAAACGATAATGACGATAATTAAAATGACGGATTAAATATAAAAATTCTCCTGCCAGATCTGTCCGATTTTGAAAGGCAGAATGATGGAGACGGGAACTCTGATGGTTGGCTATCAGCCGGACGATCGTCGGCCAAATTTCTTCAGGAACATCATATCAAGTGCCGCTGTGACAGAGGCCGATGTCGATTTTCTCCTGAATGAAATGGATCGGCTCGGTCATGATCTGTAAATCTCCCCTGATCAATTCTGTACAAAGCTTATCCAAGGACAACAACCATGAATATTGAAGTAAGACATATTCCCGTGAAGTATTCAGATGCATTATTTGCTCACATCGATTATAAAATAATCCCGGCAAACGTAATTCATCTGAAGCAGCACATGTTAGTGATAGAAGTAATAAATTATATTAACTGTTGATGCAACTGTTGAGAAATCAGGAAAAGTACATAGTCTTAAGATAATTTAATAGAGTACACAGCAATGAGAGATGATATTTGAGAGAGAATGATACAAGAGTTTGGGTATTGATCAGGGACGCAGGTGGTTCTGGTTCAGGATTAAACCAGTCCATAATTACCGATCAAGGTATTGATTGATAAATTAATTTTAATGAGTAATGAAGAGGGGAAATTATCTTTGAACCAGAATGTAATTGCGCGAAGCGAGCTGGCTCGTTCGTGAATGAAATATTTTGCGAATAGATTGAGAATTCATTGGCACTTTGAGAGTTTAACATCCAGACGTTGTGCGAGTTACAACGAATACAATCGATTGTTTGAGAAAGTCCGTTCAGATGAATTATTTTTTATTTCGTCAGAACAATCGTCAAGATATTTTCATCGAATTCTCGCCAATAGCTGAATAATTTGTTAATTTTTTTGTGCCAATTAGGAAAATTTTGTTGAGAGTCAATTGACATTTTTGTTATTAATTTATTAAGGAGCAGAGCACATCATGTGAATGATTGAGGGTGAGAATATTTAGTGTTGAAGTTTTTGAAATAAAAACAGAAACCCATGAAAGTACGTGCTTAATCCACTACTCATGATTATTCATTTCTACGGAATTAAATATTTATTCCACAATTTTATTTCAATGAATAATTTATCATTCTGAGATGACACATTTCTTGCAAGAATCATGACGATAATAAACAGTGAGAAACGATCGTACAACTTTATAGTTCTCAACACACTCGCCAGTATTCAGTAAATAATTAAATAAAAATCATATAAAATATAATGACAACAGAAAAAGTATAGATGTAACACATAAGAGAATATTCTATATTATACCTATAATAAAACAAATCAAATATATATGTATTTATGTACATTTATGAAGTTACTTCTCTTTTTGTTTCGAGAATCTACGAAACGTTTCAACGATCGTTCCGTTTTAGGTAAATTAGGATCATTTGTAGAAGGGCAATAACAATAATTACGCGTCAATTCAGCATCTTACAGATGATTGATTATTAGCAATTGAATTTTATGAAATAATTTTAATTCGTTTGTATTAATTATCAAGACGTTCCACACAAACGTCAGTCCAGCGAGAATATACGCAATGAAAAGGGAAATGAAAAGCAATTAAAGTAATTCAAGAAGGAAATTATATGATATTTATGGTGCATTAGATTGTAATGGACCGGAGTGTATTTTTAGAGAACATCCACCTATGATTGCGATACCTGAAAGAAAGGAGTGAAATAATTGATAACAGAGCTGTCCTATTGTTGTTAATGATCTCAATTCACTGATTTTATCAATGTTGATCACTTCTGCCTGATGAAATTCATTCATATCCATTTTAAATAAAATTATTGACAATTGATTCCTGTAAAAAGGAAAATGAAAAGGTAAAATGTGATTTTCGTTTAATCATGATGATAATCATTAAGTATTCAGTATGATTTTGATATTTTAAATCATGATGTTGATTCAATTTTATGTTCATTGTTCGATATTGATTATTTAGATGTTTTGCTTTCCAGCATTGATGCTCGTATCAATTTCATTCTCATTGATTTTTTTTTTCTAGCACTTGTACATAATATTCTCTTCGTCTTTTGCACACTGCACTTTTCATTCCCGCACTAGTTCCTTTTTATTTGAATTTTCTGTACTTAGGGAGTAAAAAATCATGAAGAAAGAAATTGACACGAGTGGAGGTCAGAGTCAATAATTTCGTCATTCCACCCAGTGACTTTAAATATTAAATCAATTAGAATACATTGAGAATTAGAGTGTAAGCTTGATGGGATTAAGATGAACAACAAAATCTCACGTCTTCCATTCGATAAGGAATAATTATCGGTTGATTGTATTAATTAGGTAGAAAGCACCTTAAGCCCATGTTCAATGTTTAAACCTGTATCCACGATGGATTTGCGTGAAATGTCATTTTCGCATTGAAAATGTGCGAATGTGTAAGCAATTGAGGTACGGCGTTGATGCTTGTGTTGTGTCGTAACATATATTTATTGACACCCGCTCCATCTCATTGCCAAAAGTATTGCCCAGTGTATATCAGAGTGTCTAATAAACGAATGTTAACTCAAAAAATTAAAAAATCCACTTTTCAGATTTTATTCTTCTTCCATTTATTTTTTCGCAAATTGCATTCACCTTGAAACTGCAGATCCGAGACTTGATACATTCCTGAATGCAAATTTATGCCTAAAAATTTATTTTTAATAATTATTTTCCTGAATTAGAATATTCCAGGTGAGGAAAAGGTCCTCATTGAAAACCTGTTATTCTGGTATATTTGAAACTTGTAAACAGGTGAATAAATTATCTAGAGGCCGGTCGACCTCGACGAGCCCCTGAGTTTATCAGGACAGCCTGTGGAGAGATTCAGTTTTTAACGAGAAGTTAGAGAGTGCAGTCGCAGGAATGAAGTCATTTATCAATTACTCAGATGACTCGGAGTTTCCCATCGAAAATTTACCCTATGGGGTTTTTTCAATTGCTGGCAATGTAAGTAGTAATTATTTTTATATAAGTAATTTTCTCATGCCAGGGGACATAATTCCTTGGAGGGTATCGGCTTTGTTAAAGAATTATCGGATGATGTTTACGTGGCCTATTATTTGATGGATTTAGAACATCGCCAGGCGCCATCTTGTCGGTGTGACAGAAAGCCTGTGATTTCAATTTTCTCTCTCGACCGGCGGTTATCAATTTCCAGTCGATAAAAATGCGAATGGCTTTATCAACTTTCCCCAGCTGCTGATGGAAAAATGAAATGTTAAATAAAATAATATATCAATAAACTTTGAATTGCAGGAGGCAAAACATATTGGAGTAGCGATTGGAGAACAAATTTTGGATTTATTTGTGATTTCTCATTTGTTCACTGGTCCATTACTCGGGAATAAACAAGATGTCCTCCGTCAGGAGAGTCTTAATGATTTTATGGCCCTGGGAAGGCCTTCCTGGATTGAGGCCAGAGGTACCATTCAAAATTTGCTGGGTGTGAATTGTAGGACTTTACAGGAGGAGCCACTGCGATCGAAGTGAGTAAATCAGAATTATTTTTCAGCCGACAAGATGGCGGCGCTCTCACCTCGCATCTTTGAACATTTATAAAAATGATTTATTCTCCTCAAATTCATTTTTACGTATTTCATCGTGGTGCCACACATGGAACAATTTTGTAATGCCAGTTTCCAAATATTTCGACTGTCTTAAATAATTAATCCTTGATGGTTTATTAGGGCGTTTGTCGAGCAGAAATCAGCGATAATGCACATGCCTGCCAAAATCGGTGATTACACGGATTTCTATTCTTCAATATATCACGCCACCAACGTTGGAATCATGTTCAGAGGAAAGGAGAATGCTCTTCTACCGAATTGGTGAGAAATTCTCAGGAAAATGTGAATTATACAATTATTACTGCCTAACGAAATTAAACGAAACGATTACATTCGATTAATTTGCACAGGAAATATTTGCCAGTTGGTTATCACGGTAGAGCCAGCTCAGTCGTTATTTCCGGCACTCCGATTCGTCGGCCACGCGGGCAGACACTTCCGGTAGAGGGTGAGGCACCGGTTTACGGTCCTTCAAGGCTCATGGATTTTGAACTGGAGGTTGCATTCTTCGTGGGTGGCCCACCCACCAACCTCGGCGACACAATTACAGCATCCAAGGCTTATGATCATATTTTTGGAATGGTTTTGATGAACGATTGGAGCGGTACGAAGTCATTTTCCTTCAGAATAACTCGAGGCATAACGATATTGATCATCCTCTCATTTGTTATAATCATTATTTATCCGAATTTCTGCATACATTTTTTCATATTTTTTTTTTGAAAATCGTTAGCTCCTGGATAATTGCTCCATGAAGAAAATTCAAGATGATATTTGATGGCATAACTACTGAATTATTAATTATTCATATGGGGAGTATTTATCAATAAATTGCAGCTCGAGACATTCAAAAATGGGAGTACGTGCCGTTGGGTCCATTCGGTGCAAAAAATATGGGAACGACAATATCTCCATGGGTAGTAACTATGGAGGCACTGGAGCCCTTCAAAGTTCCCAACATGCCGCAGGATCCAGCGCCCTTCCCCTATCTCCAGCATCCCGAGTCCTGCAACTTTGATATCAAGCTCGAAGTTGACATAAAGCGTAATTTCCGTTTGAATTATAAATTTTTTATTCGTGCTACATAATAATCATATTTTTTGTAGCTAATTTCTGAATTGTTAATTCAGCTACAAACGGAGTTGTGACGACTGTGTGTCGCAGCAACTACAAGTTCATGTACTGGACACCCCAGCAGCAGTTGGCTCATCACACCGTCACTGGATGTAATATTAATCCTGGAGATCTGATGGCATCAGGAACAATCAGCGGACAGGTGCGTTGATTTCCCTAAAATCCATGGAGTCAAAATAAATTATTCATTCTTCAGTCCGCAGACTCGTATGGATCAATGCTGGAACTTTCCTGGAAAGGCTCCAAGCCGATTTCGATGCAGGACGGCAGCACCAGAAAATTTTTGCAAGATAACGATGAAGTTATCATCAAAGGTGAATTGTTTACTCATTTTTCATAGTGATTTCATTTCAAATTCATAATTCCACCCTCAACTTTGGGTTGAAGTTTGGATGTTGAGTTTTGGGACACCCTATACACATTTGTGAATATTCAACACAAATCGTACTGTAGAAGCTGCCGTATTGAAAAATCAAAGGATTAATCCAAAAATGATTTGTCTAATGTTTAGGATATTGTATTGGAGATGGCTACAAAATTGGTTTTGGCCAGGCAACAGGAAAGCTCCTCCCCGCGAAATCCGAATAGCCACTGATGTCACAATATGTTTCTATTAATAAAATCATAATTGTTTATTCTATCGATTAAGTAATGTCGAACTCATTTGTCCCAACTAAAAACTACACTTTGCTATCGATCCCCCGGCCTTCGCTTGCGATCAATAGTCAGTTGGTCACATGCAGGTGAGCGGGATAGTAGAGCAGGTGCGATGATGGCAGGCGCTCTGTTCCGGTACGTAGTAAAATAATAATTCAGTCAACGTGTTAAAGCCTTGTGAACAGGCCCACAGCAAATGTTTATCACTTGCATCGACATGCCAATAACTGAGAATAGTGACTACGTCCAATTATTTGGAGGCATTCACGCTCGTGGTCTAGTCATGTTGTGAGCTCGTCAGGTTCTGGGATATTTATCATTCAACAGGAGCTTGCAAGCTCTGGAGATGACGCTGAATGAACCGACTGCTAGGTGGATTGTCCCTCTGAATGATGGTAATCATGTGGTGGAGTTCGAGCATGGCACTGCCACTGGGAGACGAGTTGTGAAGATTGATGGGAAGACTATGGTTCATCGGGAGTGGATGTTTCGACTCGTCGGGGACGAAGTGGTCATGTTCGGAGATACTAAATTCGTGATTCGTGTTGATCCTATACCAGGTAAGCTCTCTGGACTAGTCAATTGCAGCAGAATTACCTGTATTTGTAATTTAAATGGAAATTTTGGTCTTGTCACAGGTCTCAGATATTCATACACTCTCTGGGTGAATGGCAAGAGCTTCAAAAATTTTGTCCAGTCACAGTCAAAGGTTCTTGAATCCTGGGTGGCAAAAATTGGAGATAATAAGTATAGGATTGTGTTAGGTAGGAATTCTAATATCATTTTGAAGCGATCTGTATCTTCTAGAATAGTCATCAATTATTTTAATGGCTGACGAATTTTCTGCGGAGGAGGATCAGATTTTTTTTATGAATAGCTTTCATTTCCATGGAAAATGCACCATTTTTATTCAGAATCATTTTAAATAATCGGAGTTTCCGTTTAGATAAGACAACGCAAGCTGTGTGGGTCAATGGAGAGCAAATCGACGTGGAGGTTAGATTTTTTTCGACTCTACATAATTCGCACGAATAATTGTGAAGACCAATAATAATATTTATGGGATTGCAGAATGAATTCATTGATGGAGGTGCTGAAATGCTGTTTCTCCTTGGAGGTGTACCAGCAGTCATTCGCTCTTGCAGTTCAGAGCAAAAAGGTGCTGGCATAAAGTACATACTTTACGTGGACGGCATAGAAATTACTGAACAAAATTTGCTGTCACCGATAGAATAAATATTCGATAATATTCGGTAATTGATCACATGTGCCTTACCAATGGTCTTAATTTTAACGTGCCCCTTACATATTTTATATTCACCTGTACAACAAAGATCGATTATTGTGATTAACCCTCAGAGAATAAAATATAAAAAATACGAACAAAAGATTTTTGTGTCCGTATTTCTGAACAGCTTTCCCAGCGTAAATAATCATTCTAAATTGTTCATCGATTATGGCTCATTCTTCCTCTGGTAGTATTTCTGAAGATATTCAAGCACCAGATCATTAACCAGCGGTTTCAGATCCCGAGCTGAAATGAACGCCCCGTGATTGAACGTCGGGAATTTCACAGTTTCATAAATTACGGATTGCTGCGGTGAAAGACTTTGAATAAAAAATTTCATATCTTCTTCCGTGGTGACTACATCCCCTGGACCTCGAAAAATGGCCATCTGAGGCACGTCGATGGCGCTGACATCATAATCCGGAGCTACAGGTGTTCCGTAATGCTGAATATTCAGTTCACTCGTCAAATAATCATATCGACGAAATGTCCCTTCAATAAATACATAATAAATGATTAATAATTGATATAAACCGTAAATATTAATAATTACCGGTAAGTGTTTGCTGGCTGTAATGAAAAATCACTTTGGCTGATGTTCCTGCGGGGTAATAAGACATAACACCGAGGAATTCTCTCTGAAATACGCATTGAATATTTTCAATCATTCCAAAATTATTTAAAATTACCAGAAAACAAACCGATGGTTTTGTCCTCACAGGAAAAAAATGATAATTGAGAAATTTATAATATACTCACTAGATCGAATTGGTCTCGGTCATATCCAACGAGTTGATCCATCCAGCTCTGACACAACTCAAGCAAGGACCTGGTGGACGCGCAAAAATAAATGGTCAAGGGGCTCAATATTTTCTGACTGAATACTTCAACAGCACCATTCCGGGAAAATATCTGAGGGATCAGAGCTACTGCAGGGAGAATATCCCTGAGATGTGTCCGAGTTACTGAGTAAACCACTGGAGCAAAGTAAACAACAAAATCCATTTTCTTGTTGTATTCTGGACGAGCACTCAACAGCATTATGTGAGTCGTAGCACCCAATGAGTGACCGATGAATGATAGAGTTGATTGATTCGCTGTCTTCAGGGCGAAGTCTATCTGCGCTGGAAGATCCTGAAGAGCGTACTCGTCCATACTAGACGCAGGAAAATTACTCGTTTTAATAATTGTTAAATTACCGGTGAACCGTCATATTTGTAATCAACCTGAAGTCCCAGAATTTTGAATCATCTGTGAACAGGGTCTCATGACTCAGGCAGTAAGTATTTCCGCGGAAATTTCCCATCCAAACGTCGTACCCGGCATCTGACAGTTGATATCCTGAAATGGAATGCATTTTTTTTATTGAAATCATTGATAATTATTTTGCTTTTTTGTGGGGAGATGAATACCGAGACTTTTTGGAGATCCATATACGATGAAGGCATCTGATGTCGCCATCAATCCGTGCTGGAGAAAAACCACAGGTCGCGGTGATTTTTCTTCATCCATTGATGAATTCGGAAGAATCCTGTGTAGAGCGAGAATATATCCGTCTTCTGTTGTAACATTGTACCACTCTATTTTTCGCCCGTGAAGTTTACCCAGTCCCCACTGGGATTTCGATAGAATTCCGATAAATAATTTTTATGAAAAAGATTCATCATCATAAATTTTGATATTTCCCATTATCAACTCACAACATCGAGGGCGAAAAAAAGCTTTCCTTTTCCTTCCTCCACTGAGTGCAGCTTCGGTGTTCGTGGAATGAGTCCGGAATGAATTAGTGGAAATAATGATAAACAAATAGAAAAATGAATTATCAATTTAAACATTTGTAAGTCCGGAGAAATCATGCGCGCTCAAATCCGGAGAAGCATTGAAATTTTGCCTCCCGTTATTCACGAATGATCCGATTACGGCATCTAATAAAGACTGATAACCGCAATTTTACTTTAGATATTTCCATGCCTGAACTAAAAATCGAATGCAGGATCAAAGAGCAGTAATAATCAACGAAGTAAAAGCTATTCACAATATATGAATCATTAAAAACTCATGAAATTATCGATGTCTCCACTGGATTTTCGTACCAGCCGTCAATAATAAAATCATTAAAAAATTTTATAATGATCCATGAATCTGACGCATCCATAATTATTTTATTGACTGCAATGAAAATTTTTTCATGAATGGATGGACTTCGAATCATTTGCAGAAAAATATATTCTCATTTACCAGACTATTTACTCAAGAAAGATACAGTAAACAGAGCAGAACTTGCAGGCAACCCAGAACTACATATTCCATCGATTAAACATCGAATTCGTTACCGACGTTCATTTCTCGTAGAGCCGATTCCACAGCTCAACCTCAATTCAAGTGAAAATTAATCCATCGACAAGATGAGATCAAAATTCACAGCAATCTCATGAGTCGTGAATTAAAAATTGCTCATTTCCATGTCACGATATGACGTCAACCAGAAAAGCCAGTGGTATCAGCCTCGTCTCACGGCTAACCTTGGGTTTGGAGGAGGAGCCTAATTATGACGGTATTTAAACGATAAATTAGAGACTTCCTCAATCTCTGTCACCACTTTTCCAAATATTTCCGTTTGTTAACAAAAATTAATTTATCTGTTCGTAATGTTGGAATTATCTTATTTCTGGACGTTTCAATCATTCCCTTTCAGAAATGAGTGATGAAAACCTGCAAGAGAGTCTAGAGACAGCTATTCATACCAATGAACTTCTGGAACTGGAAAATATAGTTTTCGAACGGTATTTGAGGAGACACGACCCGCAATCTCTCGTCAGTGAGTTTTAAATGCTTGCACCGAGAAATGATAGCCTGAGGGATTTTTCGTACAAAAAGGAAATATTGAAATGCTTGTCCATAATATTTTTGATGTGTTAATTTGAATTGGTAACAGCAATGACACAAGCCCTGGAAACAGCGAAGCAACTGCAGAGAACTGCATCCCTCATAGCCCCGATGGCTTCATTCCAAAACTTGACAGGAAGTGTGCGTGGATCCACCACGATACGAGATAAGATTTCAATGTCACCGAGTACAGGTGGAAGTGTTCAAACAGTCACAGGAAGTCGTCGTTACGGATCTGTCCTGATACCGCAGACCAAGAGCCTCAGGTGAGTCAGTCTCCGTCACAAAAATTCCAATTCAACTTCCTCGTGATTCAGGATAACCGTCAACCATCGAATTGAGATGGCGAATAAAGAAATCGAGGAAATGAAGAAGCACCTGGTGAATCTCGAGCAGGAAACCATAAAGAAGAAGGCTAATCTCAAGGCCAAGACCGAAGAAATTCAGATGAGGATCAAAGACATTCAGGAAGCGAAAACTCAGCTGGAGGAGAACGTCATCAAGGGGGTGGATCCTGTGACTGGAAAAATTCCAGCTGAAAAATTCATCAGGTAAACTCCAGACTTATGGAAAAAGAAACTGAAATGACTGGAAATTTTTTAGATTCATCGAAGACCGGATCAAAGCTGCTGACAGAATGATAGAAAAATTGCGGCTCAAGTCGCTGTCACTCAAGCAACAAATCAAAAAGGTCAAAATACAATTGCAGCAGAGGGAAGAACTCGGCGAGACTCTGCACCCGATTGATTTTCAGGTTCTCGCGATAGAGAATCACGATTACCTGAAGAAGATCGAGGAGAAAACCGCGGACCTGTCGGAGCTGAAGAAAATCACCGGCCGATACAATCTCGAATTGAGTATTAAAAAAAATAAATTACTGGAGCAACGACAAATTCTCAAAAATATGGAGAAAGAGATTGAGTTGAAGAAGAAACACATCGAGAAACTCAAAGTTGAAGGAAAAAATATAAAAGATGAAGTGGAGAAAACTGATAAACAAATTGAGGAGATTAACAAGTTGATGGCAGAACAAAAGGCAATTAATACCTTAATCGCCCGATTATTCATAACAAATTAATTATCAATGACTTGCTTTCAGGTGCCAGACGTTCTGGAATTAATAAAAGTGCAAGCGGAGCTCCAAGAAATGAAGAAGACATTCAAACGTCTAGAAAGACGTAAAAATATTCAAATGATTGCCCTAAACACCTTCAAAAAACATCAAAAACAATTAAATCAAATGGAATTACCCAGGAAATCACAGCCTGATTAATTTTATCAATCCTCCAAATGCCAATTAAAAATACAACTGATTGAATTAAACCCATAAATTTTTTTTCTCATAATTATCACTCTTAATTGAAATTTTAATTCCAAAAATCATCATTCCGTTTTTTTTTCACAAACGTACGATCATGTTTATTAAATATTCACAGGATCAAGTGTCCGAATTATTTTTTATCTACTCCGTCAGGGTAAACAATAAACTCTCCCTGAAATTTTTCAATTGTCCATCTTGAGCTGGACCTCTTCGCACCAGAGGACTTCGTGTTCTCCAATGTGCAACTAGGAGTGGACGCAATTATCTCACGAGTAATTACCACGCTATCCTAGCCGTCACAGATTGCACCACAAGATAATTGTTGTTACCGGTGTTGTTCTTACTGAAGGAAGCAAAACGGAAAACGCCAATTCCTGCGTATCATTCAATGATACGCCTAGCAAAATGAATAAATAAAATAAAACACAATATTCATTGTTTATTCATATTTTTCATACTCCCGTGGACCGAATAGTTTTATCGTATCAATTTTCATTCAATGCAACATAATAATAATAACTCTACGAATTTTTTATTGAAATTCAAGGTAACACGCTCCATCAGTGAATAGCCAGCAGCATCTCGTCCATTTGTTCAACGAAATAAAAATTATTTATTCCTTCTTCAATATTCAATTCCATAAGATAATTCTCTGTAACACGCAATAATAATTACACACAATTGAAATAAATTCTCTATTCAGTATTTTTTTTTGCACGTGTGATGAGAATTTTCATGCGGAATTCGGGCTTTATTTTATTCTCGTATCATTCCCATTATTTTCTTGATGAACTCTCGCTAGGTCAGTGCACACAGTCGCTGTCAAGAGGTCCAAAAGCCGTGGAGAACACAAAAAGTCATTAGATCCTGTGGGTTGAACCGGAGAATCGACGGGAGACGGGGAAAATCTCCTATCAGATTTTTGTCTTGTTTTTTTTTATGGGAAAATCGAAGGGGTCTTTTAATGTTGGAAGATTTTTGGCTCGTGCCACCGGTGAATCTGTTGGTTACGCTTCATGCACTGGTGATGCCTGTCCCTTCCTCTACTGGATACTCTGGACGACGTCCTGTGGAATATTACCCTCGTGGAGTCAGTTTTCGTCGGGACACCAACGGATACGGATATTTTTTAAATATTCATGCGTAATTGTGGTATTATAAATTTGGATTAACCGTGGATTCTTCTTTTTTATAAACGGTAAATAATTATAAAAAATGGGAGGAATCTTTTTATTTCAGGGATAATAGCAATTAAAAAAAATGTGTAATAATTTTATTCCCAGAAAAATATTTAAATTATTTTCCCATCCGCGGAATCGATCCGCCTCGCCGAAACTCCGTTGCCTAGGCACTTGACCACAAAAATTGTTTTATTGTTCCAGAGATTCCCCGTGCCGTCGTAAACGGAGTAATTATTAAATAATCAAATTTACAGTTACCCGAAATATACATTGAGACCGTGACGAAGTATAACGAATAACAGGAATGATAAATCCGTAAAATGAGGTATGATTGAAGTATTTGAGAAAGTGGAGAGAATTTTTGAATCACCGACAGTCCAAATTCGAGAAAAAAAAATGGACAGAGTTCTGATTTCGCTGTTTGCATTATCCGGATTGCTGATTCTATGTGGAGAGGGGGAGGGGCGTTACACAGAGGTGAGGCAAACAGTTATTACTTTATTAACTTTCACTCGAGTCATTGCATACAACGATTGAGGTACATCACGCCCTTCGGTGTTACTCGAGGTTTAACGGGTCTTCAAAGATGATACGATGATAGAGCTCCTCCAAGAAAGTTCTATTGTTCTCTAGATATTGATGGTCAAGGGGATTTAGAATTCTAATTGGTTTCCTTTACGAGGGAATCGGTAATTAGCCGCGGGAAAAAATGCATATTCAAAATTTTTTTCACTTTTATCATTTCATTAAAAAAATTGAAATTTTATTTTATTTCATTATATTTTATTCCAAATGATTAAAAATTATTTATTGTTAAGCTTGTAATGTGAAGATCTGTTATTATTTTATGAATCTTTTTTGGAAAAATTATCTACGGAATTCAGGGACTCAACGTCAACTTGGGTGAGGCCCTTCAATTTTTACGGGAATATGATCGCGAAGCTTCCAATATCTGCACGAGGACCATGATGGTACAGTGGAATTTCGCGACGAATATCACGGATTATAACAGAAGAAAAATGGTAATAGAAGAGATTAAAGAAGTACCTAGAAGTGCGTTTATTTTATTTTTATAATTTTCTGTTGAGTTGGAGGAGCAAACGTTGAAGCTGAAGTTCGAGAGGTCCTCGTGGAAGAAGGCCGTGAGTTTCGCTTGGACAAGGATTCCAGACCCATTAACCAGGAGACAACTCAAGATGATCGCAGTCAAAGGAAGAAACTCGTTGACCGAAGACAAATTTAATGAGGTGATTAAATCGGTGATCATAATTACGCAAAATCCAAACCCCTCACCCATTTATTCCATTAAAAATTAGAATATTCATTGATGGTGTGGGAATATGAAAATTTTTCATGGCAGATCCATCACTTGATCGTGGAGATGAAGGAATCGTACACCAGAGCTCGACTGTGTCCTTACAAGAAGATGGGGACAGCCTGTGACCTCGACATGGATCACGGTAACTTATAATTTTCAATAATCATTGGTATGAATTTTTTTCTTGTGCAAGAGGATATTAATTTCGTGTGAAGGAACAATCATATTTATGATTGTAAAAATTTGAAGTTCAGTCCCAATTTTTTTATGCAGATGTGAACAAGATAATGGCAAAATCGAGAGATTACGAGGAACTCCTGCACTACTGGAGGGCATGGCAGGAGGCGGTGGGGCCTCCCCTGAAGAACAAGTACATGAGGTACGTGCAGTTGGCTAATCAGGCTGCAAGGTTGAATGGCTTCTCCGACGCTGGGGACCAGATGAGAGAGGCCTACGAGGACGATTACTTCCAGCAGAACATCGCTGAAGTCGTTTCAGCAATCACTCCCCTGTACAAACACCTCTTCACGTACGTCAGGAGTAAATTGATCGAGAGATATGGTGACAGAGTGAGAGCTGATGGCCCTCTGCCTGCCCATTTACTGGGCAACATGTGGGCACAGAATTGGGAAGGGATTTATGACCTAGTGGAGCCATTTCCAGCTGCTAGGAGATTCGATGTCACCCTGGATATGATTATCCAAGGATTCACTCCGTTGAGGTTGAAATTTCATTTATA